CAATGTGATTACTACTATGAGTGAGAAAGCCATTGAACCTGTGGTAAAGCCTTCAGTTGAGAAAAAGAAAGATGATGAACTTGCAACTGAAAAGGAAAAAGAAAAGGAAGTTGCCAAAGAATTTGCTGCAGAGAAAACTGTTCCTGAAAAGAAAGAGTTCAAATGGGAGAAAAAGAAAGCTCAAGAAAGGCAAGAAAAGCCATTGGAGCTCTCACCTTATGCAAAGAAGTTCATGAAAGATCTTCTATCACGAAAGCGTAAGCTACAAGAATGTGAGACGGTGACGCTGACAGAGGAATGCAGTGCCATTATCCAGAAAAAGTTGCCTCCAAAGCTTAAAGATCCAGGAAGATTCAGCATTCCATGCAACATAGGCAATATGGAAGTGAAAAATGTTCTATGTGATCTCGGTGCCAGCATCAACGTGATGCCACTATTTATGATGAAGAAACTGGGGATCACTGAAGTAAGGCCAACCAAGACAATAGTTCAACTGGCTGACTGCTCTACAAAGCAAGCTTATGGCATTATTGAGGACATACTGGTAAAGGTTGACAAATTCATCATTCCTGTTGATTTTGTCATCCTTGATATAGAGGAAAATTTTACTATTCCTATGATCTTCGGAAGACCTTTCTTGGCAACCTCAGGAGCGCTGATTGATGTACCGAAAGGCGAGTTGATCTTACGGGTAGACGGGGAGCAAGCAATTTTCAAGTTCTTTGATAAAGAAGTTCCCTCACCTATAATTCAACCGGAAGATCAAGTCTACTATATTAGTGAAAAGAAAGGAGAAGAAGAGCACAAAGAGAATTCTTCTCAAGAAAGTAAGCCAAAGGTTAAAATGGAGAAGCTCAGGAGCAAGGGAAAACACGTAAACACAAAATTCAAAGCTATTGAGCCTACTTCATCTCACTCATATGCACAAGAGTACTATGGGAGGACACCATTTCTGAATGATAGAGCTTGGTCATCACCAAGCCCATGCTTTGAACCACCATGAACATAAAAGAGGTACGTCAGGCTCGTGACGTAAAACAAGCGCTTGTGGGAGGCAACCCAACTATATTTTTTATTTTCCAACATTTTAGTATAGTATTTTAAATTTAGTTTAGCTTATTTTAATTATTCTTAGCATAGTTTATTTTAGTCATATCATAAAAATAAAAAAAATAAAAACATTGAGGTTAATGATCAAATTCTGTTGAGATGGACTTTCAGGTGTAAGTGGGATTAAAGCATACACAGGTACGCAACTCTTATTCATTTATATGTTTTGTGTATGATATTGAGCAGAATTATTGAGGTGGAAGAATACACAGTAGAGATGAATGCAAGGAATAGGAAAATATGGAGAAAATTTTCTAAGTATTGAGAGCTTAAGCCCTTAAAGGAGGCTTAAGCCCCCAAAAAAGTGAAATTTCTCTCGGCCCTAGCGCGCTTAAGCGCGTTAAATAAAATTTTATCCCATTTCTCACTGCCTCAGCGCGCTTAAGCGCGAATCACTGCGCTTAAGCGCGTTCATCTTTGACATTATGCATACTGTTAAAGTATTTCAGTTCCATATACTCATTATTATTTTCATATGCATCTGAATATAAATCTGGGAATTGTTATGTGGAAATTGCACTAACTTTGCAAACATGTTGGATACTCGAATACTAATGCTGATATGGTTGCAGACACTACACAGGATGCTGATAGAAATGATATTGCACCCACTACTGAAATTGATGAGGATTGACCATTGTCTCAATGTTTAGATTTTTTTTCTTTTGTTGATTTTAGTTCATGTTGATATGAGATGTATATTGAGATTGAACTTGACGTGACTATGATTTTTTTTTTGGATATGACATACTGACGTAGTTTCTTTATCTGTGACATGTGTGCAGAGTACAGTATCAAATTTTTCTAATTTCTTGCTTAGGATTCTTTTAGATTTAAGTTTATTGCTGAGGACAACAAGATTTAAATCTGGGGATGGGTACCATGCAATTCATCAGACCATAAACTTCACATGGTCGGAAGAAGAAACTCTTGATTACACGGAGTACACAGAAATATCCAAATTACAAATGCAGTTTTTCAGGGGAGTTTCTCAATATTATTTTCATATTATATGATTTTAAATATATTATTTTGATTTAGTATTAGTTTATTTTAAGGTCTTCATATATATTAGTTAGTTTAATATTTAAGTTTTTTTTTAAATTATTTTTAAGACCCCTTCCATCTTAGTCAATAAATAATTAGTGGATCTTAAGAGATTTTCCATTGTGCTTGATATGGATGCATAATGAATAATTACATGAAATTGGTTGATAGTTGATATCAAGAGTATAATGATGTAAATAAATTTTATTTTCGTACATAAATGAGCGTCAGTCAAGCATGCTTCATAGTTCACTGGAATAAGAGAAGAATAACTAGAGTAATCAAAGAGAGAGTGGAAAAATAAGTCTCACATCCTTAGCCGTAAGATTTTGAGCCTAAACATAATTTTTTTTTGTGGTGTGAACTTTACTGTTGAATCACTCTAGAACTTGTTTTGTTTCTCTTTGAAATGGTCTGTAGTATACAATTGTTGAAATGATAGAGGCAGTTCTTTTTAAAAGCTAGATAGCCAAATAGCCACCCTGAAGGTTTATTCTTAGATTAAGCCTTTTTGAGCCGAGGCCTGTTTGTTCATTGACAGTACATTATGAATAGCCATTCCATACACATCCTCACCTGAACTGATTAATTTTCAAAATTAAATGAGGAACTGGATAGGATTGAAACAAAAAGAGAAAATCAAACTCTAAGTGTATGGGAGAAAAAGGTGAAAAGAGGGAAATTGCCACAAAGTGGTGGAAAAAGGAAATGAAAAGAAAAAGGTTGAACTGTTTATATGTACAAAAACAGAAAAAGAAAAACAAAAGGAAGAAGGAAAAGAAATAAAAGACTTATATTATATGAATAAGTGGAAGAAGAAAAGAGGAGGAAAATAAGAGAAATCTATTTACTATATGTTGAACAGTTAAACTAGTTCCTCTTTGAAGTTGAATTTTGATCAGTTATCTTAAGCCACTTACCCAGATGATTCCTTTCCTTTTACCTAAGCCACGTTACAACCTTAACAAAGACCTCTTGATTGACTTTGTATACTAGTAAGACTGTGGAGAGTGAGAATATAAACAAGCTTATGGTAGTGTTAATTTAGTGAAGTAAGAGTGAAACACATACCCTTAAATACTGAATGTGAGTGAATAAATAAAAATCCAGTGAGAGGGTGTTGTGGAAATTAAATTGTACTACACTTTCTTTTGAGAACGCATGTTATGATTTTATGACTGGTGAATTATGACTGTTTGCTTGAAATTGATGTGTCATTGATTTTTAATAAGTATGAATACTTTGATATCTCATTATTGATCAGTTTTCTGCCTGTAATTCATCAAGCATGACTAGCCGTCTCCAAACTTTCCCATAGTTTTATTCTAATTAATTGCTGAGGACAACAATGTTCAAATCTGGGAATTGTTTGATAAACCTTTAGTTTATCTTGTTTAATGGACTAAAATAATATGAATTATCTAGTTGAACAAGTCAAAAATTAGGGTTTTAAAATGATAATCATGAACATTATCTGATTGTTAAAACTAATTAATATATTTGTTATTTTTAAAGGGATTTGATAACAAATGATTCAAATATGAAGCTTTAGATAAAGAGAGTTCAAATCAGAAAAGAAGATAAATCAAGGTGAAAACAATAAGATTGAAGATCTTATCAAGTTGTTAGAAGTGGGAGCTTAAGCCCCCATTCACAAGCTTAAGCGCCCAGACAAGTCCAACTTAGGCCCATTCAAGTTTTCTACTGCAATACGAACTCTTGACCTATTTAAACACCATTGGGGACCAGAAATACATAACTTTTACATTGCTAAACAACTCTTGGGTGCTTGGAGGCTGAAGGAACGCGGAGAAACATCAGATTCATGTTCGTAAGCGGCGGAGACGGATCAACGTCAAGTGTTCACTGGAGATATTGAAGATCCACCAATTATCTATGGAGTTTGGGGGAGCTTTTCTATTTTCTTTTGTTCTTGATTTTGCTATGTCCGGCTAGTTCTTTAAGTAGTTAGGGTTAGATGGATTTTAGTCGATTTATTATGTTTTGAACAATTCGCTGTGTTAATTTTCCTTTATATCATGAATGAAGTTATCTGTTTTTAATGCTTTATATAGGCTGGAATCTTATATAATGATCATCGGTGAATGCATGACAATAGGAATGTTGGTGTGTGATCCATATCTGATAACTTCATCGTAAACGTTATGATTCTAGGGATAGACATAGGGTTTGCGTAATCTTTAAGATTCTTGAACTTAATGCTTGCATGCTTGGGGAATAACCAGGGAACTAGGGTTCTTCCAATATTGTAAAGGTTTTAGAGTAACAAGGGATTGAGCTCTAATAACATGCGAAAGAATTGATTAGATTGATACTAAGGACAATTAACATTAAGAAGGAATTCAAACGTAATAAGGAGATTAAATGAAATCGAACCCCTAGCTACGTTTTTATTTTATTAGTTAAATCACATCTTTAATTTCTTGTCTTTAATTCTTGCACGTAATTAGCTTTAATATTTAATATTTTAATTTTGCAATTCAAATCCTGTTTCCGAATACAACTTCGATTGTCCAACTAAGTTTGCGATAGTGAATTAGTGCTTGAACCGTAATCCTCGTGGGAACGATCTCCTACTTAATCAGTATATTACTTATACGATCGGTGCACTTGCCGTGAGTAGCAACAGTTATTGTGGATAGACATACTAAGTTTGCACATTTTCTGCCAGTGCGGGTTGACTTCTCTACTGAGAGATTGGCAAAGCTCTACGTGAACGAGATCATACGGCTCCATGGGATTCCTGTTAGCACATGAGCGACTAGGACCCGAAGTTCACTTCATGCTTTTGAGGAGCTTTGCAGTAGGCTTTTGGCACTCAGCTTAGGCTGAGCACTGATAATTGATATTTTATTGCACTTGTTTGCTACTCTTAGTTAGTATTTTTAGCATTATTTAGAGTTAAATAATGGTCTTTTGGGTTAAATTAGATTTTTGGCTTTTATTGGGTTTAATTTATTTTCATAACTAATTTCCAACTTTACATTACTTTAGAATTTTGACCATATCTCACTCAACGGATGTCCAAATGATCCCATTCTTGTTGTTTTTTGCAGCTATCTCAGAGGGCTACAAATGTTATGACTACATGAAAGCACAATTCAGACAATAAAATGGTCGAAGTTGGAGTCCAAGTTAGAAACGTGATTCTAGAATTTTAGTTAAAAATGGGCTTAAGTTGTAATTTTGAACCCAATTTACATGAGGCCCGAGCCATGATTTCTGTTTTGTTTCCTTTTATTTTGGGTTGGATTTGTAGAGCCCGAAGCCCAGCTTGATTAGGGGTTAAAAGGGCAAGAGTAAGGGACCTTGTGAATCATCTTTCATTTGAATTTTATAGTTTTGAAATTAATATAATTTTTGTCTTTTTTCTCTCCTGTTTTCTTTAATCAACCCAAGGGTTAAGGATTCCATGGTTGAGTCCTGAGGACCTGCGCCTCAATTTGGACCCAATCTCAACTGAGTACCAAAAGCTTCTTGCAACTCCTCCCATAACCGAGATGTGAACTTCGGGTCCCTTTCACTAATGATACTCTCGAGCACCCCGTTAAAGTTCATAATCTCGCGAACATAAAGCTTGACCAACTGCTCTGGAAGGAAATGGGCAAACTTAGTCAATCTGTCCACAATGACCCAAATAGAGTCATAACCAGCCTGAGTTTTAGGCAATCCCACAACGAAGTCCATGGAAATGCTCTCACACTTCCACTGTAGAATCTCAAGACGTTGAAGCTTACTAGACGGTTTCAGGTGCTCAATCTTCACCTTCTGGCATATCAAACATTTGGACACATACACTGCTATATCTTTCTTCATGCCCGGCCACTAGAAGTTTCTCTTCAAGTCCTGTACATCTTTGTAGTCCCAGGGTGGATAGTGAACTGGCCTTTATGAGCCTCTGACATCACCTCCTCCATCAACGGACCTCTAGGTACTATAATCCTTTTATGAAATAGTAGCAATCCCTCATTGTTCCAAGACACACCATCTTCGTTCTTCACACACTCAAGGCATTCCCTTTGCACCTGCGCCTCTTTGATCTTATCCATCAACTCATTTTCAATCCTCACAGTTTCCGTCTCCAGAAGTGAACCCCTAAACAAAGAGGTCACTAACAAGTCTCTAAACTTCTTAATTACATCAAAATTATTAATCATCAAACTAGATAGACACACAGATTTCTGACTCAAAGCATCAGCTACCACGTTGGCCTTGCCCGGGTGGTACGTCCTTAAGAAATTTCATCCATCTTCTCTGTCTCTGTTTTGGGTCTCTTCCAATCCAATACTGCCTCTATTTTATTTGGGTCAACTACCACTCTTCTTGCAGTAATTACATGTCCAAGAAATTTCACTGAATTGAGCCAAAACTGGCACTTCGAAGGCATTGCATAAAGTATTTTTCCTTAAGTATCTGTAGTACAATCCTCAAGTGCTCCTCATGCTCCTCCTCGTTCTTCGAGTAAATAAATATATCATCAATGAAGATAATCACAAAACGACCCAAGTACGGCTAGAAAATACAGTTCATGTAATCCATGAACACTACCGGTGCATTGGTGAGTCC